GTACCAAAAAAAAAAAAATTCACTTTGTTACAAACAAATATGATTTTAATTCAATCTCTTGAGCTTTACATTTGGTTTTCCCAATTTAATTCAAGTCAACAAACATAAAACTCTCCTACTTTTTAAATAAAAAATATTTTATCATAAAAATGATAAAAAATTATTTTTGGTTGAAAATGATTACTACTATCAAGGTTGATTTTAAGGTCTTACTCTTAATACTTAATAATGTATTTCTTGCATTTTATTTACCAAAATCTGTAAAAGCAACTATTTTCACCTTTATTACAAATGTTATATATTTTAGAATTTCTCTGGCAAAGTAAATAATATAAAACTCCATAAATACATACTGAAAACTACTTCTGTTCAAAAAACACAGCCTAATTACTCGGGAACAGAAACAAACCTTTGACATAATTTTCCTTCAAGCAAGAAGGAATGCTACAGTGTTTGAGGATACAGATATATCCAGCATTGCTAAAGACAGGCATTTTTGGGGGGGGGGTACCGGAGATTGAACTCAGGACCTTGTGCTTGTGAGGCAGCCGTGGCACCACTGAGCTATATCCCTGGCCCAAGACAGGCATTTTAAAATATAAACTATTATACCCTAAATATTTCATTCAACTGCCTCTGCTGAACATTTAGTTGGTGTGAAGGCTGCAATGAAGGGACTAGCACCCCTGATAACTAATGAGAGGAAGCAAGTACTGTACAATTTGTGGGCTAAATCCATCATTTGTAAAACAGGAGCATTATTCACATCTGTCTTATGTCTTTGGTATCATAATTTTAGTGCTACCTAATGGTAGAATGTTTTGAAAGAAGTTTAAAATTGTAAAAATTATTTATTTCCAAAGACTGCAAATATATAAAAAGTAAAAAAGAATGTTCAACTAAATTATAATAGCAAAAACTGAAAACACCCAAGCCACCATCAAATTGGGGCTCATTAAATATATTAAAGTATATTCCCCAAATGAAATACTATGTAACCAGTAAAAAAAAAACAAAGAAGGCTACAGATCTATACAGTTCCTGATGTCTCAAAATGTCCCAAAACTTTTCCCCTTGGGAAAAATGTCCCAAGACTTCTCAAGTGAACAGCAAAGTAAGCGGCAGCAAAAAACCACTGAACAAATGACTACAAATTTTAAAAAATCTGAATGCATGTGCAAAATGTAAAGGAAGACACTTCCTTTCACCACTCCATATACTGGAGAATAAAAATTTGAAATAACTCATTATCTTTATGAAGTAAAACATTATATATATATATATATATACATACATATATATATGAACAATAAAGGTAAACAATAAGAAACACTCAACCATAATACTACTGTCCACTCCACTTCAGAGAGCTCAACTGTGCTATATAAAAATTCAGAGTGCAATAACAGTTTTTCATTTCTATTAGTTCTCCAATTTTTAACATACATTAAAGTCTTAATGTGAACAGTCAAACTGCTTTCCCAAAGCTTATTCTCACTTGAGAGAAAAATAATAGTAATGTATTTACATGCTAGGACTTTCAGTTACAGATAATTTAAGGTACAATTATATGAATTACTGTTAAGAGTAATAAAGCTAGCTTTTAAGCTTTTGACTGTAAACAGTATCTTCATTCTGCTGATGTACACTTCAAATACTGTATTTCAATTATTTATTTCAATCACAATAGCAATATTTATTAAGTGTATCTTATATGCTAGGGTCCATGCAAAACACTATTCTGCGCTCTTAATCATTAAATAACAATGCTTCCTTTAACTATGCACATCAGAAAATTTTTAAAACAAAGAAGTATTTTATAAAAGTAAAAGCCTTTTTACGTATGCATTAGTGTGAAAAATAAGGCTTCCAACATTAAAGTGGTGGGGTGGTTAAGTATTATTTAAAATATGGGAACTGCACTTCTTTAAACATGTCATTATGACTTAGTCATTGTAAATACGGCCGCCTTGTAAACATTCAGGTTCTTATGCAACTAGAACAACTGCTACATGAGTTTGGGGAACAGAATGAGTTGTTATTGAAACCTGGGACAGCAAATTGGGCTCAGGGCATATATATGTGGGCAGGCAAGAAAAGAGCAATGCTTTTTCAACTGCTAAAACACAGTGTGCAGAATTTAATTTGCTACTTTGATTACCTATTTTTATCTAGCAGGTACATCTCTAAAGGGCACAAATAGAAAAGAACATGAAGGAAACTTCCAGAGAACAATAGGCCCAACGGGTGGCCATCAAAAACTTAACCCTTGGGCCGGGGATTTAGCTCAGTGGTTCCGGCGCCTGCCTCGCAAGCGCAAGGTCCTGAGTTCGATCCCCAGTACCAAAAAAAAAAAACCAAACCCTTAACCCTTTAGAGATCCTGAGAATTAAAATGTTCAGTTAAAGAAACTGTTCAAGAATGAACACCAAGATAGCAGGGTATGGTGATGTATGCCTGTAATCCCAGCACTTGGAGGCTGAGGCAGGACTGCTTTGCTGGGAGTTGGGGCCAGCCTGAACTACAGAGAGAGACCCTGCTGGGGGCGGGGGGAGTGGGGATGAACACCAGGAGGGAACCTTAATGTAAATGGTGGACTCTGGGTGATCATGATGTGTCCTTATAGGTTCATCGGTGATAATAAATACCACACTGATGCCAGATACTGACAATGGAGGAGGCTGTATGTGTGTAGGAGTACTTAACTTGCATATGGGAACTCTATACTTTATGCTCCATTTGCTATGTACCTAAAACTGCTCTACAAAAATGAAGTCTATTTTTAAAAATTGTTCAGCCTTAAGTTCAATGGTTTTGGGGAAAGTAATTCTGTGTTTTTTGTGTGGTATGGGGATTGAATCCAGGGGCTTTGTACTGAGCTGTATCCCCCTCAGCCTTTTAAATTTGAAACAGGGTCTTGGGAAGTTGCTAAGCTGCCCAGGTTGGGCTCAAACTTGCAATACTCCTGCCTCATCCTACCAGAGTATGAGATTACAGGCATGTGCCACTAGGCCCAGCTTCCTATCATTTTTAATACTATAATAGTATCACAGATATAAGACAGAACCTGAATCGCTTTCAAGACAATCTGAAAAAAATACTAATGTTTGGACACATTTATCTTGTTACTCAAAATCAAGACTTACTTAAAAAATGTGGCTGAGGATTTAGCTCAGTGGTTCCACCGCTGCCTCACAAGCTCAACGTCCTGAGTTCAATCCCCCATATGGGGGGGGGCACTTCAGGAATGAGCATTAGTATGAAAGAGAATAGGGGCTGGGGATTTAGCTCAGTGGTTTCACCGCTTGCTGTGCAAGCGCAAGGACTCAAGTTCGATCCCGAGTACCAAAAAAAAAAAAAAAAAAGTATGAAAGAATAGGAATTAAAAGACTTACTAAAAAAAAAAAAGTTATGGGAAAACTATGGAGTCAGTAAAGAGATCAATGGTTACAAAGGGCTGGAGGAGGTAGAGAGGAATGACCAGGCACAGCATGAAGAATTCTGAATTTTGAAAGTGAAGCATGAAGAATTTTGAAACTGCTACGTATGATAAAATAATGATGGATACAAACCCACGGGATGTACAACACTGAGTGAGCTGCAATGTAAACTACGAACTGGGGTGATACAGAAGTGCTAGTGTAGGTCTATCAGTGATAACAAATGCACCACTCTGTGGGCGATGCTGATGACAGGGAGACTATGTGCAGGGGTAGGAGGTTATGGGATATTTCTGCACCTTCCTCAATTCTGCTGTAAATATAACATGCTGTAAAAAATACTCAAAAAGCCAAGAGTTATGATGTACTGCACAGAGGGTCAGATGAGCCAAGTTTTGGTCCCAGTTTGAACAGTCCCATGTTGTCCTCTATGCTGCACTGGACCATCTGTGTCTTCTACTCTTAATTTCATGTTTTCATTTTCATAGTCTTTGAAGTGCAAACTAAATGTTATCAGAACAGTCTGTGCACGACAGCACATCAAAAAAGTACACGGAGGGCTGGGGATTTAGCTCAGTGGTGCCGATGCCTGCCTCTCAAGCGCAAGCCTCCCCCCCCCC